TTTCAAAAAATTGAATTTGGTTTTTGGTGTAACAATAAAACAAATGACCGTAGATACATGAAATTTTCACTGATTGTTTATATTTGCATTTTCTATACACGATAACATTTTCAAAATATTTTGATTTATTTTGAACTGTTAAGGGACATTTTCATTTTCCATTTTTTTTAGTTTTTTTTCTAAAAATATCAATAAAACTTTGTTTGTTGAGTAGAAATACTTAAAAAATTTAATACAAGGTTCCTACTAAATTGTTACAAAGGCAGATGAAAAATATTAAAAATCGTTAGTCACAGTTTTTTTTATAAGCATTTAAAGTTCAAAAATTGACAAAATATGGAAAAATCACGAAAATTAGCAAATTATTTTGAGTTAAGAATTCATAAAACTTTTTCTTTTTTAAACTAAGATTTTAAAATGTAGTACAAGATTTCTTATAAGATTATCTACCTTTATCAAAAAAAAAATGTCAATAAGAAAGTCAAATTAAATTTTTATGAGCGTTTGAAAATCAAATTTTTACATCATTGGGTATTTACTCGATCTCTCATGTAGCGATTTCTTTATTTTGTTGTAATTCAAAAACGAATTACTGTAGATACATGAACATTTCACTGAATATTTATATTAGCATTTCCGATACACCATACAATTTTGAAAATATTTTGACACTTTTTGAACTGTTTACGGACATTTTCAGTTTTCAATTTTTTTTCTATGAATATCAATTAAGTTTTATCTGTTGGGCCAAAAAGTGTAAAAATTTAACACAAGGCTCCTTATATTATATTGTTACAATATCAGTTAAAAAATAATAAAAATACAACGGCACAATTTTTTTTATAAGCATTTAAAGATCGAATTTTGACAAAATTTATCAAATTTAAAATTGAATAATTATTTTGTTGTTAAAAATGTATAAAATGTTCAACTTTTATATCGAAGGATTGAAAATTTAAAACAAGATTTCACGTAAGTAGTTAATTCTTTTACCAAAAAATCTAAAAATACATAAGCAAATTTTATTTTTATAGTCATTTTAAGTTCAAATTTGGACGAAATTACAAAATAAAAAACCTAGAATAAGTGATTTAGTTATTTTGTTATGATTGTATAATATTATTCGTGGGTACTTGAAACTTCTAAAGTACACTATTAAATATCTATGATAGTATCAGGGTTTGTTGTTGATGTATAACGCATTATAAGTACCTAATGGATATTGTGATATGATAAATTTGTAATTTATTATAGGTACCTATTATAGGTCAATTTTTTTTAGTACCATAGATAAGTATATAATATGTCTTACCTATACCTAACCTGACATACCGTCTCCGCTCAGAATTGTTTTTCTTATACAACGATATTATATCATTGAATTCAAATTTAATACCTTCCATTACACATTGGCCGACTAGTAACCTACTGTACAGCAGAGCACTTATTTTTTATCTGATACGTATAAAACCAGATTAAAATATTAAATAATTTAAAACATACATTGACTCAGTTCGGTAGGTGTATATGTATACAATTTTAATGTAAACTTTCAATTACAAAATCTTTTTATACGTTTTATACTTTTATATAGGTACAAAACGTTTCAGCAGGGTGTCTGAAATGATAATAATTATCATAATAATTATAATTATTATTATTCGTGGAATTTAAAATTGTAATTATTCATTTTAAAAAAGTATAGTCAAATATTTATAAATTATTGATATTAATATTATACAATTTGAAAGTATATAACTCTATAGTATTTCTTAGTCAGCTTAATAAAATAAATAGTATGAGTTCATAAATATTTATTAGTGGGGCCAAATATAATGTCAACATGGCTTAGTATAGTATGCGTCATAATTCATGATATACATACACCTAAGTCATAAAATAATAAATTATTTTATATCCATTATTTGACTTAAATAGCTCTAAAAAAATATTTTAACACATGTCTAATGAAACATCTGTTAAGATATGCAATTTTTAGTCATCATCTTGAATAGTACCCATAAATAATAGGTATACTGAATAATATAATATTATGCAAATGTAAAATAAAAATAAATATATGTATAGTAATTATTTACGTTCATTCCTAACTGATATTATTAAACATTATGCAGCAATGTAAAATATTGTAAATTTATTGATTTGGAAATTCGTTGTAATCCTGCATAGCGCGCTATGCGAACAGAATACCTAAAATCCGAAGGTGAGCAATAGCCAATAGCTATAGTTAAAAATGTAGAGCTAAGTTAAAAAGTTAATTTTATTTAACTCAATACTTAACAAGTGAATATACTAAACATTATAATTATTTTGGATTGTGAACGGAGTGTAAAATTAATTGATTTTACAAAATGATGAGTTATTTTCTTTTGTGTCTGCCATTACCTTTCAGAGCAATAGAAATGAATCAATTTTCAACTTTGTGGGAGGTTCCTGGTAGGAAATTGGATAGATAAAATGTTAAACGTATAAAATAATTATGTAAAATTAAGTAATAGTATAGTATAGTATGCTTAGGTTTCTACCTACATAGTAAATACTTTTTGAATACTAACAAAATAACAAAAATCGTTTGAAGATAAATCATTATCATATACCTGTTTGAAATTAGTACATAATTAAAAAAAAATTTTAGTAGAACCTTGAAACTTTTCTTTATTACATTATAATTTTATATTCATAATATTGATATTAACTTTAAGTTTTTTATTATACAATCTATATTCACACCGTCGAACCGTCATATAATGTACCTGCTTCGGTATTGACTTATATATCTTATAACTTATATAAGATAATAATACTTATGATTTCATACATGAAATCTTTTTTTACAAAAAAATAAGTTTAACATAGCGTACTACCAATAGCAAAAAAAAATTATCAATAGTTGGTAGTATAAATGAGTTGTAAAATATCCTTAGAAATATAGGAGGTGACACAAAATCTCCTCAGCTCAGAAAGGTTTTTAGTTTCTTATGATTTTTCATTGACTTCAAATTGAACACATTCATTACGAAGTGACCTACTCAATGACGAAGTACACTCAACTTACTCTACTTACTATACATTAGAGCGACTTATCTGTTTTTTTTGTTGTACTTTGTAGCCATGAAAGAATAATTTATGTGGGTATGATATATTTTAGACTGAAGAAAAACCATTATACACTCTGTTGTTAATAATTATCAACTTGAGATGACGTATATTATAAGTAGGTATGTACTGTAATTCGGGTGTATTCCCATATTTCAGTTACCTACCCTATCGCAATGACGTAATTTTCAAAGTTTATTCGTCTCCAACATGACAATACAAAATAATAAAATACCTATTTTGGTATATACCTAATTGGTAGTAGAGTACGTGTAATAACTAATAACACAGACATAATTTAACATATAGATTTATATTGCAGCTGATATTATATAGTCTATATATTATATATGTTTTGTACGTCTTATAGATTATTTAATAATATAAGATCCCATATTAAATGGGATCGCTTTCTAGTATCCATTTAAATGTATAGTCGATTTAGCTCATGCGCCTCTCCTGTCTCTCCTTTATAGCTGCGTGTACGTCTGCTTCCAGCATAGATTTAATATATATATATAGGTCACAATGTATATACTGCACTAGGAATGAAGTTGTGGTATTAATACACCAAGTTTAACTTGTTTATCGCGTTTTTACGATACCGCTTAGATAAACTTTTAATACCTGTACGAATTCTACTATAGTGCACGAGTAAACGAAACTGGAAAGTAATGAAAATATATTAGACGAACAAAATACTCCATTGTGTTGACCGTTGCAGTTTACTATAGTACAAGCGAGGGCGTCTGTGTGATACAATTAAAGTTTAACAGTTAATATAATATGTTTTAAGCAAAACTACGAGGTACCTAGTTCAATAATATTATAGTCCCTTTGAAAACTTTATAATGTATTAATTTGCTCGCGGGGTCGTCTTTTGGTACACACACACACACACACGCCGACACAACACTCGCTGACTGTAATTCTAAGTCCAAATCCAAGCAACATAACGTGATGTGTATGACCCAAACTGCCGAATCTATAAATCTTACATTTTTACAGAAGGTACAACTAAAAAACGTTTAAATCACTCAATAATCAATTTACAGTTATAAGCTATTATAATGATTATGATCAGATAATAAATGTTCGTTTGTTCATATCAAAAAAGTTAGTAATAACGATTTCTGTTGAAATGAAAAAAAGAAGAAAGTAGAAAGAAGTAGGTATACGCCACGCCGCAATGATTTTTAAGAATTAGATTGTTCCTATACGAAAATCTTAAAAAGATTAAAACTAAATTTTTTATAATATTTTTATTTAATTTATTAATCATTTTTAACTTGCTCTGTTATAATAATAGTGTCACATACTCAAATTTGAACTCAACATTTTTCAACATCGCATTTAACGCTTAGAAGATTAACTCAACCTACTAGCCCGTTTGAAAAATAAAATACTAATAATACCTAAGTCCTAATGTTAAAACATTATAAAATATTCCTAGGAATAGAGGCTGACACGTCGTTCATCGAATTCAATGATTATTACCATCAAATTAAAATATTTAAGACATCCATAACAGTGACCTACTCAATGACGAGGTACACTCGAATCCTATAATATACTATTCAGTTGTAGATCGACAGTTTGGTTTTTTTAAATGGTACTACGTAGTTTTCGGTTTTTGTTAGTTCATTGTATATTTTTTTATTCGTATTTTTATTTTGGTGGGTGGTCGAATAGACAAGCGTTACACACACACACACACACACACACACGCGCGCGCGCGCACGCGCATACGCTTACAAGAGGCACACCATGATCACAATATATTTTTTTTTTTAAATATTCGACCCGGTACAATAACAATAACAACAACTTGGCCGAGAAAACATTGTTTTCGCCTCCGCTCCCGCAGTCCCGCATCCTGAAGGTCATGGACAACTGCAGCGGTGGCTGAGGGCTGGGCTTGATCGGTGGTGAGGCGAGGAGGTGGCTTCCAAACGGTACCGGCGATGGGACGACGGAGAGGAACAGGCATGGTCGCGAATGAAGTCCATGGGCCATGGCGTTTGTCGAGGTGGCGAGGGGGTTGATGATGACGAAGTAGTGAATGAGGGGTGGAGGTGGCTGCCGTCTGGTCTCGCCGGTTGTAAACACTGAGCTGTGTGCGCCGTCATCGTCGTCGTATTATCCGTTTCTATGTTCTTTTTTTTTTATTACTATCGTTATTATATTATGGATACTAGGATATACGAATATCCGTCATTCTACTTCAGAGGGTTCACTATCGATGATAATATGTCATTTTTTTTATTGCCTTATTACAGCAAACAATCAGGGATCAATAATTTTTCGCAGTTCTTTTTTTTTTTGTTCTTTCTATAAAATATGACATTATATTACAAGATGGGAACCAGAATTGAGGTAATGGTTGATGGGTTGATGTCGGGGAAAGACACGAGATGGGAAAATCATTCTGCTTTAGGCATGTCGTATCATGTACGATGTGGTCGTGGTCGATCTCATATCATGTCAGCAAACTCGGCGACGAAGAGTGCATAAGGAGCTACATAACTGTTGGGGAGAGACGATGCGTGAGATGGTTATTGGCGGGGGGTGAATATTGTGTCCTGCAAGGTGGAGAGGGGAAAAGGAAACGATAAGGAAACCTGTGGATTTTGAAACACCCATACGAGGAATCCATGGGGAAATCGTATTATAACGTGAAAATATTATGTTACCAACTAAATATTTTCATCAAACGTAATATTTCGTTGTTGTTTTGTGTACTGTTGTGCGTGTTTACGGGTACGACTACTCTGCGGCTGCACGTCGGGGGACAGGCCACAGACAGCAGGCGCGGGTTGGTTGAGGTTACGATTAGGCGTCGCTTTATTTTTTTACGCGGTGGAGCAGAAGGAGGACGGGGAACAGTGTATGCGACGGCGTGGAAACCGGACGTGGCAGGTCGATCGGCTGCAGGTGAAAACCGGTGGTCACCAACATTCGGTTTTTGTGTACGTATAGGCATAATACATGAGAATTCAGAGGTACCTATACATTGTATAATATTGTGATTTTATTTATTTTATTCCTCGAAGATACCCCTGACCCCATCCCACCGTAACTCGACACACAAAAAAGACACACACTACACACACACACACACACACACTATATTCACCAGCACCGCGTTCACTGCAGTCGCCAGTCACCATAATTATCCGGATAACGATGGTCTGGGCTCTGGAACGCAGAGTCTTTGTATATTAACCTGGCCTGCACAAAGAAAAAATTCCCGAAGCCACTGACGCCCGAAAAACGAGATCGATATGTTATTTTATAACAACATCAACAAAGAAACCACTATATTCATCTTAACAATTAAGATTGAGTTACCTTATACCTTATTTTTTTTCTTAACAAATGCTCCGTTTTTAAGAAATAACTTTTGTTAAAATACTTATACCTACCTACAGCATATCCGCATGTAAGCGGAACATTTTTTTCGGAACCAAGAGAACCTTTTTTTAGTGAATACTTCAACAGGAAAATAAAACAGTTAAAATTGGGTTCATGTAAACTCCGCCAGTGACAAAAATCAAATATAACAGTATTCGCTATACAATTAATATAATATACAGATTATTATTAAACAAAAAATCATAATTTTATAATAATAATTATCCTTATTAGATAAATATATGCCAAAAAATATAAAAAAATTAAAATAATAGTTGTTCGAACAAATCATACAAATTGCAATGGCCTGCAGTATTATGTTAAAAAATAATGATAGACAATTGTAATAAGTAATAACTAATAATCAAAAATATGTAGGTATATTATATTATTATGACATTATATTATGACGTTATAATTCTTAAAATATTTTGAACTGTGAACTAAAATTATGAGATATAATTTGTAGATATTCAAACCATTAAGTCTAATATAAATTAATTATTATAACTATTTAGTATTTATAGGTTTCTTTACCACAAAATTTTTTTTTTCATTTTGAATTTTTGTCTTTACTTAGTACAGAAATTTCATTTAGTTGTACATAAGGAAATCCTTAATACTGGCGCCTGGCGGAGTTTAAATATTCCCATTATACAGTAAGAAAATAAAACTGGCGGCGAGCATACATTAGACCTTTTCATTACCTTTTATAGTTTTATCTAACCGGTATTCTGGTGGAGTTTATACAATTGCCCCATGGCAGTTATTTTGAGTTAATATTTTTCGAAATTGAATATATATTTCAATGAACTAATAATAATTTTTTATTGAACAACCAATTGGTCACAATTTCTGCAGATATGAAGCAAATAATAGAAATCAATAAAAATATAAATACACATGTACAGTTACAACAACTTAGGTGGTAATAATAATAGTCCGAATAGCGATGTTTTGGTATCGTAATACCTATATTATACTTGTATGATTTCTATATTGAAATTACCAATGCAACCATAATTTATTAGATAAATACCATAACTACAAGTTAGTTTAATGATGACTATGTTGACAAGAGACGTTTTTTTTCTATAATAGATATAGTTAGTGATGGCATCTGTATAGTGACTATAGACTCTAGGTCAATACAGTATGCGCAATTTGGTTTTGGTCTGTGATTGTTTTTGACTGATGTCGTGTTTCAAATTCAGATGCTGGAAACTTTATAAGGTCGTTTATAAAATATAAAATACTTTTTAATTTGTATTGTTTTTATCTGGATACTGCAAAAGATTTATTTGTATTCAAAAGAACAGCTATAACATTAATTTTATAATATAAAAACGTATATCAAGGTAATATGTATACCTACTATATATAGTTTATTATACTTAACTCTGAAATATTGTCTATTGATAACTACTCAAATAATTCGATAAAGTAAATTTATTTTGCAGCCACAATATAGTGTTCCTACTATAATAGTGCTTATTTACTGTCCTGTATTGGTATAGCAATTATTATACTCTTACGGTATAGCCTATTTATTTCTTAGTTATTCATTTTATTTATTTCTACTATTATAACTGCACAATAATATAATATACTTAAAGTATTATAGGTAAAGTAGTAAAATACAAAAAAAAAAAGGAGTTTTAACTTTTTACATAATTTACAATTTAATGGCAAGAATATTACTAGACTTTTATTGGTATTTATTAACATTTTAGGTCAAAGTATAAATTTAGGTAATTATGAAAAATGGAACGATTTTATAATGCTCTCATATTACTCGCTTTATTAAAAATCAATAAGATCCTAAGATAATATATCTTAGTTAATATTCTAGACTTTAAATTTTATAATAGATCAATATTCATTCCAATATTAAAGTTAACAACACACAAATATTGGTTCTGCTCAACGACTATATTTTGCTATGTTGTACGTGTGTAGTGTGTAAGGCCCATTTCACATGGACACTTACTCGACGTATAGTTTTTAGTTTATATTACTTTTAGTTCATACCGGCGAGAGAAACGCGCCACCGTCGGATTGGCGAGTATGAATTTAACCAACGGAGGTCGGAGACAACACATTAGCAGCACTTATCGTCAGGTAAGTTTGACAAGAATTAATTTATTTCTATAACAATATTGCATGTCATAGAAAATGATTGAATAGCAAAACAAATTTTTGAAAAACACCGCCATTAAGACGTATATAGCTTTATATCCCAACATTTTAGGTCACACGCAATTCTGACAATATATACGGACATTCAAAATTCAAAAATGTATTATCTTATTAATTAATCATACAATAATAATAATTATAATATATAATATGTTTTAATCATAAATATTTATCGTCATTATATTATAATATAGGTACTTACTTGGTTTGTTCGATTATTAAAATATTATCTAAGATTTGAAAATTTAATTCAAGATTCCTCATAAGTTTGTCTACCTTTATCAAAAAATAAATGTCTACCCAATCTGTGTTTTCATTATTATTCATTATTATTAACCACAATGATTATTGTATTTATGATAATTATAGGTACAATAAATTGAATTCAAAACATATTTTATGGTACACAAAATGTGAAAATAAATGGCAAATATTATATAAATTAAATAGTGACAAAGTTGTATAGAATACTAATATTATCAATTATGTATACAGTGCACTAAGTTCTTGCATGTCGCATAAACCATGCAATTTCCTTCAAAACGTTTATTTTAGTTTTAAACCGTTTTATCGGCATTGCGGCTTCGTATTTAATAATATATACGTAGTAGGTAGGTACCTATAATAATTGAGTTGCAGTTGTGACAAAATTGTACAGAATTCATGGACGAACATTTTAAGTTGTATAGTTCTAGTATTATAATAATATATAACAATTAACTATATTGCAGATAAAATAATATCATATATTCATAACATGGATAGCAGGCCTTTCCGTATCACTCGAATATTGGTACGTATTATAGGGCTGGGGTTTTAATTTATTTATACAACCAAATTATAAACATAAATATGTGTTGAAAGACTTAAAATATGTAATTATTTTAATATTTTTTTCTTTATTTATTGTATGGCCGGTCTAGTGCCACTCATAGGCGCAACTATAGAGCTACATTTTAGGGGGTGCTAAAATTATGTAAGTATCTAAACTCGGTAGGAGACTTTCCCCCACACCACCTATCATAAATTACACGAACGTTAATAACAAAGTTTTGTTATAACTTCAACTTCATTACCTATTTAATTGTATGTATTATTACACTTACAAATAGCAATTGTCTTATTATTACAATATACAATTTTACAAGTGAATAAATAAAATTAATAAGAATATAATGTATTATTTTAAACTTATTTTCTTTATTTTTGTGCTGTAGATAATCCAATACTGATTCGGTTTTTATATTAATTGAAACATCAAACATCCCTCTTATTAATATTTAAAATGGACAAGTCAGTAAACCATTGTTGTAAGTCTGTAACATACTTGTCCTCAAACCTCGACCAATTTTTAATTCACTGCATACCAGAAAAACTACGTTTACATGTTACAAAAAAGAACTTATTGGAATTGTAACTGAAATTTGAAATATATTAATTATGGCAAGAAACACTATTTTTGAATTTTTTATTTTACGTCAATTAAAAAAAAATCTCATAAAATAAGGAAATTGCT